AGGAATCAAGGATCTTCCTCTCTTGCACTGTGTCTCCACTCTCCCAAACATGATGTTCCTCTCCAAGGACTGGTTCCTCCTTGAAACATGCCCAAAGTATGTCAGATAAGGCTTCAGAATCCTTTTTTCCAAGGAGCAGCCTGATTTCACCCTCTCTAGGACAAACCTGTTTATTCTCCTAGCAGTCCATGGTATATTCAACACTCTTCTACAGCCCATAGCTCAAACGCATCAATTCTCTTTCTATCATCCCTGTTCACTGTCCAGCTCGTCAACACATACCACACAATTACGAAGACAATGGCCCGGATCAGGTGCACCTTAGTCTCCAGCCTGATGTTGTTGCACTTCAGTACTCTGGAGAGGTCCCTGACAGCAGACTTTCCCAATGCAATTAGTCTCTTGATTTTCTGGCTGCTGGTACCAACAATGTTGACTGTGCTCATTTGGGGAAAGAAATTTTTTTTTTTTAAAAAAAAAAGAATGTTGACTGTGGAGCCAAGCAAACTAGAACTGTTAACTATCACAATCTCTTCACCATCCAAACTGATGCTGCCAACTGGCCTAGTGCTGAGAATCTTTGTTTTCTTGATGTTGAACTTCAGTCCATATTGAAGGCTGTAGTCCTGGACCTGCAGCAAGTGCTTCAGGTCCTCCTCAGTTTCAGCAAGCAGAGTTGTGTCATCTGCCTAACACAGGTTGTTGATGAATCTCCCACCTATCCTGATGCCACTTCCTTCTTGTACAGCCCAGCATCCTGGATGATCTGTTCTGCATACATATTGAAAAGGTATGGAGACAGAATATGTCCCTGGGGGATGACCTTGCCAATTTTGCAGTGTTTCCTTGCTCTGTTCTAATGACTGCTTCTTGGTTCAGGTATAGCACAATCATAATGCATAAGCACAATCAAATGTTCTGGGATTTCCACTCTTTTCAGAGTCAGCCGCATCTTCTTGTGATTGACACAGTCAAAAGCCTTTGCATAATCAATGAAGCACAGATAGACATTCCTCTGGTACTCTCTGCTTTCTGCCAAGATCCATCTAACATAATAGCCCCAGTACCACAGCCTCTTCTAAACCCAGCCTGCACATCTGGCAGTTCTCTGTTGACGTGTTGCTCCAGTCATTTTTGAATAATTTTCAGCAGAATACTAGTTACATGTGATATTAATGATATTGTTTGATGATTTCCACACTCTGTCAGGCCACCTTTCTTTGGAAAGGGAACAAATATCAATCTCTTCCAGTCAGTTGGTCAGGTGGTTATCCTCCAGATTTCCTGGCACAACTTAGTGAGCACATCCAGAGCAGCATCTGTTTGTTGAAATATGTCAATTAGTATGCCATCAACTCCTAGAGCCTTGTTTTTTGCCAATTCTTTCAGAGCAACTTGAACTTCCTCCTTCATCATTGCAGGCTCTTGTTCACACATTTTTTCATGAAATTCTATGTCAGCCAATTCCTGCTGGTACAGTGACTCTGTATACTCCTGCCATCTTCTTTTAATGCTTCTTTGATCATTTAACACTCTGCTCAAAGCATCTTTAAGTATTGCCACTTGTGGCTTGAATTCGTTTTTCAATTCCTTCAGCTTAAGAGATGTTGAGCAAGTTCAGCCTTTTTGATACTCTGACTCCAGCTCTTTACACATTTTGTTTTAGTATTTTGCTTTGTCATCCCGAGCTGCCCTTTGAAATTTTCTCTTTAGCTCTTTAATTTCTTGATTTCTCCCTTTAGCTTTGGCTTCTCGGCACTCTAATGCAATATTCAGAGTCTCATCTGACATCCATCTTGGTCTTTTCTTCCTCTTCAGCCTTTGTAATAATCTTTTATATTCTTCATGGATTATATTCTTGATATTCTCCCACAGCTCATTTGGTCTATGCTAATTGGTGTTCAAGGCTTCAAACTTGTTCCTGAGATGGTTTTGAAACTTGAGTGGGACAGACTTAAGGTCAAATTTTGGTTCCTGTGGATTCGATTTTATTTTCTTCAACTTCAGTTTGAACTTGCATATGAGTAGTTGGTGGTCTGTTCCATAATTGTAGATGTATTTCACCTGATAGGAAATGAATTGATTACGAAATAAATAGGGAACTATAAAGTGAGAAAAAAAATGAGGTAACTGTGTTTCTAATAATGTTCTGATATTAAACATTAGTGGTAAGGAATTATACAGCCTATGCAAAAGTATTCAGTTTGAATCCATCAACTTCTCTGGTAGGCAAAAATGAGAAATCTCCTCTAGTGTGATTTACTGTCTTTGTTCCACTTGATGGTAAAAAATAACAAAAAGTACTTTAGATATTGGTGAGAAAGTTGAATAGACCTTAGACCAAAGGGAATAATAAAATAGCCAACAAGCACATGAAAAGATCCTAAATGTCATTATCCGTGCATTGTACAGTTGATTTTGACTCATATTGACCTTTTGAGACAGTGAAGGGCTTCCCCAAAGGGTTGGTTTTTTTTTTTTAAATTTTTTAAGCTATATACTTTATGTTTCCAGCAAAGAACTTAACAGGTATGCAAATGAAACTTCAAAACCACAAGAAAATCAGACCTCTCCTCTAGTAGAATGGAAATGAGTAAAACAAATAACACTCCCTAGAAAACAATAGGTGTTGAGGAGGTTGCAGATCCCTAGTTCATGTGAAATTTGGACAATGAATAAGGAAGAATGAAAAACTGATACCTTTGAATTACAGTGTTGGTGAAAACCATTGAATAATTTACATATTATGGACTGCTAAAAACCAAAATCTTTTTGTAAGTGCAGCCAGAATGGTCTTTAAAGATGAAGATAGTGAGACTCAAGCACTCTGGGAATAATGTAGGGATGAGTCAGTCCCTGGAGAAAGACAAAATGCTTGGCAAACTTGAAGGTCTTGAGTTGAAGGAGGCCTAGTGACAAGAAGCTGCACTGCAATCATGAAAGGATGTGGTTTGAGGCCACCAAGCTGCTCTGTGGGAGAAGAATGGGCAATCTCCTCCTGTGGGATTAACTGCCCCTGAAAACCTGCTGGAAGGTCAACTATGGGTCAGTTCTGATTTTATGGTACACAACAACAACAATGAAGTACAAGGTCAGCAAAAAGAGGAAAACCCTCAGTGAAATGGATTGACATATTTACCTTCAACAATGGACTCAAGTACAGTAGTGATTGCAAGTATGGCATAGGATTTTAATAAGCACATTTTAATTTTTTTAAATTTTAATTTTTTTTTACAGATACAGAACTATATTTAAAAATACATTTAAAAAAACAAGGATTAATACTAGTACCTAGTGTTTAGGTACTAATAGCATTTCAGTTATTTAGGGCTTCTCAAGGCTGTTATACAAAACTGGATTCTTTGTCTGAGAGAACATAGGCCAGGACTTCCCACACTGCACACTTGACCCATCTTGCTAACTGTTCTTTCTCAGCTGCTACAGTCACTCTGGGTTGCCAATATTTTACTTCTAGCAAAAGTTGTTGTTGTTAGGTGCTCTCAAGTTGAATACTTCCCATAACAACCCTATGAACAACAAATCTCAATCCTGTCCTAGCCTATGCCATCCTCACACTTCTTGACACACTAGAGCCTGTTGCAGCAGTCACTGCGTAAATGCAACTGGTTGAAGGACTCTCTATCCTTTGCTGACCCTCTGCCTTTCCAAGCATGATGTCCCTCTCCAAGGAAAAGCTTCTACTAGCAACATGCCTAAAATATGTGAAATGAAGCTCTATCATCTTTGCCTCCAAGGAACACTATACCCTCTCTACTACACCCTCTCTAAGACATATTTGTTCTTTTGGCAATCTATGGGATGTTCAGTTCTCTTCTCCAACACCAAAGCTCAAAGACATTCTTGCTCTGTCAGTTCTTACTTATTATCCAGCTCTCAGATGCATAGCAGGTGATTGAAAAGACCATGGTCTGAATCAGACAGACCTTGGTCCTAAAATGGACATCATTGCTCCTCGAAAATTTGGAAAGGTCCCTGACTACTGACTTTCCCAGTGCAATACATCTCTTGATTTCCTCTATCAAGGGTGTTGATTGTGTATCTAAGTGAGATGAAGTTGTTGACAATTTAAGTATCTTTTCCATCTACCATGATGTTGGCTTTTGCTCCAATGGTAAAAATTTTTGTTCTATTGATGTTGAAGTGCAGTCCAGACTATTCTTTCATCTTCTACAACAAGTGCTTTAAGTCCTCCTCACTTTCTGCACAACCAAGATTGTACCACTTACATAACAACTTACTGGTGAGCCTTCCTCTAATCTTGATGCCACATTTCTTTTCAAAAAGTCCAGATTTTTTAATAATTTGCTCAGTATACAGATTGAATAAAGTATGGAGAGAAAATGCAACCTTGACACACGTGTTTCTTAATTTTAAACCATATAGTGTTCCTTTACTCTCTTCACACAATATGCAAGGAATATAAATTGAGAAGTAAAGGTAGAAATGCAACAAAGCCTTTCCTAACCAACTACCAACCAAGAAAATCACCCTGCACATCAATGTTAATTATTAAACTTTTTGCAATGTTCCCCTACCTTATAGAAACCCCAATAAAGTAAAAATAATTTCTCCATATTATTCTCTTGGCTGTACATTTAGTAAGACTTTTCTTCTATAGAGGAAATGGTTGGGTTTGAACCACCAGTCTTTGAGTTAGAAGCTCATAAAAAACCCTGCTTGTGCCAATTAAGCTCTACTGGAAATCTCATGCTGGGTGAATTAAGTCAGTTGTGAAAAGGGAAATACTGCATGATCTTACATGAAAGAAGCAAATCTACACTCCAAGCCTACTGCTATTGTGGTGATTACAATTTAAAGTGATACTCTATTGGAGTTCCAAAATTATAAGTCTTAAGTATAGTAGATTGGCTATCTTTCTCCCTCAGAATGCCTGGGAGATCCGAACTGCTAATATTTTGGATAGCAACCCAATATGTGTACCAGTATGCCAGCAGAGCTCCTTTTTTTTTTTTTAAATGTTAATTCACTGTCTTTTATTAACTCATAATTACTTGTCCTCTGGTTTGTTGAAGCAGTAAGTCAGACAGCACTTGCCACAGTAGTGTCTGTGAAAGTGGCTGGCCATGAAGACTCCAGCACCACATTCATCTGAAGGACACTCCCGACGAAGGCGACTAATTTTGCCATTCTCATCCACCTTGTAGTATTTCAGAACAGCCAGCTTAACCTTCTTTCTCTTATGCTTATTCTTCTTGGGAGTGGTGTAAGACTTCTTCTTCCTTTTCTTAGCACCACCACGAAGTCTCAATACAAGGTGAAGAGTGGACTCCTTCTGGATGTTGTAGTCAGACAGGGTCCGCCCATCTTCCAGCTGTTTTCCAGCAAAGATGAGTCTCTGCTGATCAGGAGGAATTCCTTCCTTGTCCTGGATCTTGGCCTTCACATTCTCGATTGTGTCCGAGGGTTCAACCTCGAGCGTGATGGTCTTCCCCGTGAGGGTTTTTACGAAAATCTGCATCTGCATCTTCATCTTGCCGGTGGGCCCACCGCAGACGGCTGATCGGAAAAGCAGCAGAGCTCCTTTTAAACAAATAATATGGAAATTTTAAAAACCGTTAATAGTTCCCAGGAGAAAAAGGAAAAGAGAGCTATTTTTTGCTTGATGATTAATGTTGTGTGTTAATTTGGCTGCCTATGATTCTCTGGTTTGAGAGTTGTGATGTAATCATTCTTCTGATGAGGTCTGATATAGTGTAATCATTCTAATGCTGTGATTTCCCAAGAGAGGCCAACCAGTTGAGGGGGAGGTTCTTTGGGGGTATGGCTTATGCCAAGTATTTTTAAAAGTCTGGTGGAGGCAATTTGTTTTTTTACTTGATCTCAGGTTTGCATCTGGCTCATTATCTCCTTCATTCCTGCCTTACTTGCCTGATCATGGATCTTTCATTCTCTACAGCCTCATGTCATAGACAATATATATTGAGTCCATAGAGACATAATGCACAGAGAGTTTCACTGCTAACCCAAAGATGGTGGAGATGGAAAGGTGAAAAATGGGGTTGCTTTTATAGTTAAAAAAGTAATGTCTAGATTTGTTGTGAAATACAATGTTGTGAGTGACAGGATAATATCCATATGCATACAAGGAAGTCCAGTGAATACCACTATCATTCAGATATATGTACCAACCACCAGAGCCAAGGAAGAGGAAATAGAAGATTTCTATCAACTTTGCAGGCAGAGATCGATTGAATATGCAATCAAGATGGGTGACTGGAATGCAAAAGTTGGAAACAGAGAAGAAGGATCAGTAGTTGGAAAATATGGACTTGATGACAGAAATGAAGCTGGAGACAAAATGATAGAACTTTGCACAATCAATAATTTAGTCATTGCAAATCCTTTTTATAAAAGCATAAACACTGGCTATACACCTTAATTTCACCTGATGGTATGCATAGGAATCAGATTGATTGCATCTGTGTAAAGAACCGCTGGAGAAGTTCAATATCAGCTGTGAAGACTAGGCCAGGTGCTGATTGTGGAACAGACCATCAACGACTCATATGCAAGTTCAAGCTGAAGTTAGGAAAAAGGAAATCAAATCTATGGAAACTAAAATTTGACCTTGAGTCTATGCCATCTGAATTTCAAAACCATCTCAGAAACAGGTTTGAGGCTTTGAACATGAATGAGTGAAGATCAGATGAGCATGGAAAGATAACAAGAATATCATCCAGTAAGAATGCAGGGGGTCTTTACAAAGAGACAGGAGGAAGAAAAGACCAAGAAAGATGTCAGAAGAGACTCAAAACATTGCACTAGAGGTCCAAGCAGCCAAAACAAAGGGAAGAAATCAAGATATTAAAGATCTGAACAAGATTTCAAAGGGCAGCATGTGAAAACAAAGGGAAGTATTATAATGAAGTGTTCAAAGAGCTGAAGTCAGAAAATCAAAAGGGCTGAACTCACTGAACATTAAGCTCAAGGAACTGAAAACAAATTTAAGCTTTGAGTTGCAATACTTAAGGATGATTTGGACAGAATTTTAAATGATCCAGGAAGTATTAAAAGATGATGGAAAGAGTATACCGAATAATTGTACCAAAAGAAATTGACAGACTCAGAAGAATTTCAGGAAATAATGTATGAGCAAGAGCCTGTGGTGATGAAGGAAGAAGTTCAAGATGCTCTGAAGGAATTGGCAAAAAACAAGGTCTCAGGAATTGATGGCATACCAATTGACATATTTAAACTAACAGATCCTGCCCTAGATGTGCTCACAAAGTTGTGTCAAGAGGGCAACCACCTGGCCAACTTACTGAAAGAGATCTATAAAAAAGGTGATCTGACATAGTGTGAAGATTCTTGAACAATATCATTAGTATCACATACAAGCAAGAGTCTGCTGAAGATTATTTTTAAAAAAATAACTGGAGCAGCACATCAGCAGAGAACTGCCAGAAAGTGCAGGCCAGGTTTAGAAGAGGTCGTAGTACTAGATATGTTGTAGGTAATATTAGATGGATCTTGGCTGAAAACAGGGAAAACAAGAGTAATATCTATCTGTGCTTCATTGACTATTCAAAAGTATTTGACTGTGTGGACCACAACAAACTGTAGCTGACTCTAAGAAGGATGAGAATCTCAGAACACTTGATTGTGCTTATGTGAAACCTATACTTGGGCCAGGAGACAGAGTATGGGAATACTGCATGGTTCAAAATTGGGAAGGGTGTACACCAAGAATGTGTCCTATCTCCATACCTTTTCCACCTGTATGCAGAACTGATTATCTGGGAAGCTGAGCTCTTTGAGGAGAAATATGGCATCAGGATTGGAGAAAGACTCATCAACAAACTGCATTATGTGGATGACAGAACCCTCTTTGCTAAAAATGAGGAGGACCTGAGGCACTTGCTGCAAAAGATTAAGGACTTCAACTTTCAATATGGATTGAAGCTCAATATTATGAAAACATTCTCATCACAGGGCTGATTGGCTGCATCATGACAGTTGGTGCAGAGACTGAGATTGTTAACAACTTTAGTTTGCTTGGCTCCACAATCAACACTCTTGGCACCAGCAGCCAGGAAATTAAAAGATGATTTGCATTGGGGAAGTCTGTTGTCAGAGACCAATCCAAAGTACTGAAGGGTAATGATGTCAGTCTGGAGACAAAGGTGAGCCTGATCTAGGCCATGGTATTTGCAATCACCTGCTATGTATAAGAGAGCTGGACAATGACTAAGGATGATAGAAGAATTGATGCCTTTGAGCTGTGATATTGGAGAAGAGTATTGAATATACCATGGATTGTTAAGAGAATGAACAGATTCATCCTGGAGAAGGTTAAACCAGTCTGCTCATTGGAGTCAAGGATTCTGAAGATTTGTATGACATACTTTGGACATGTTGCAAGGAGGGACCAGTTCTTGGAGAGGGACATCGTGCTTGAGATGGTGGAGGGACAGTGCAGGCGAAGAAGACCCTTGATGAGATGGACACATTCAGTGACTGGGGTAAGGGTGGTATGTATGTCAGAGACAATGAGATTGGCACAGAATAGAGAAGCATTTAGAGCTGTTTTATACAAGTTCTCTAGGAGTTGAAGGTGACTCAAGAGTATACAACAACAACAACAATAATCTTCCTGTTTGTTCTCTGCTGTAGTTTTAGGGCCTTGTGATTAGAGATGATTATGAAGGTGAAATACAAAGGAAAATGCCAGCTATCAAACATACAAGTGAATGGCAGCCATGGATTCAGGATCTTCCAGAAGCTGACCTCAAAGGCTTGGGCTGGTTTATGCACATGCTCAAAGCTAGTGTGGAGGCCCTTTCTTTGACTTCTGGGGATTTCCATCAGAGAGGGAGGAATTATCTTCAGTGTTTCATGGAACTACTAGTATTTCCTATATGTAGATCAAAAGACTTGAGGGTGATTACAAACATTTTGACATTAGGAAGAGGTTAAGAATCTTACTTTACCACAAAAACCCTGGAATTTCCAGCTCCATCTGCTAGTTCAAGTTTCAACACCAGTTTCTTTTCTTGTAATATGCAAAATTCTCCATATAGGTTATCTGCTCATTTATCTATCAAATACTGAAGAACCTTGGAAATACAGAGAGAGGGAGAGGGAGAGGGGGAGGAAGGGAGGGAGGGAGAGGGAGAGAGAGAGGGAGACTATGAGAGAATGAACCAAGCAGTGTAGAGAAAGCAGACTTGGATTGTACCATGTAAATCTACCACGTATGAGTGCTGCTCACAAAATGACCAAGATGCTCTGATGTGGGAGGCTAGGGACATTTTCCTGAAAAAGTGACAATGAGTGGAAAGTAGAAGACTAATGAAAATAAGTCAGGGTTGTGATGGTTGATTTTAATGTGTTCACTTGGCTTTCTCTGACATGGCACCTTTTTGTTTTGTCAAATACTGTTCTGGATATTTCTGTCATATTTTATTGAAGAAACTACTAGCATTTCATTGTTGTTTACCATTGAGTAGGAACTTACCCATAGCTGACATGCTAGTGGGTTTTCAGAGACAGTAAATCATATGAGAGAAGATTGCTCATTATTCTTTCATTGAACAACTGGTGAATTTGAACATTGTACATGTGCAACTGTTCACATTTAATATACACATTAACTTTAAAAGAGATGACCATCCATAATATTGCTTGATCTGATTCACCCAACCTTAGGAGCAAAAATGGGCTTCTCAAAAAAGAAGAAATTCTATTACAAACGTACAATGTTGATTTACTGCCAATGTTTTTCTCCAAAAACTCATTGCCTTCTAATAAAAAAATTCTAATAGCTGATCGTGCAGTAGATTTCTGAGACTTTGTGCATCTTCCTTTAGAGGAGCCTCTAGTGGTAGAGCTTCCAGAGGAGTGTCGCCTTTGAGTTAGTGGGACAACTTCCTGCATACTAGTCCTTCAGATTTCCCAACCTTTGTCAGAATCAGTGTGGAATTTACAACCTATTGCTGGGCCTATGAAATTTAGACTTGCCAACTTTCATAATTTAAGGAAACAATTCTTTTGGCTAATAGCACAACAAGCAATGCTGCCCTAGTTCCAATGAAAAACAATCACTTAAAAGCTTTCTCTTAAAAGTCCTAGTGTATACACAGGTAGGAGATGCACCTGTGCAGGAACCAGTATGAGCAAAGTCACATGGCAGAAAAGAACTGATGTGCACAAGCACTTTGAAAAAAGTGCTTTCATGGGTAATAGCAAATTATATCTCCTATGAGAAAGCAAGAGGATGAAACCATGACCTGTATGTGTCATATGGGACTGAGGTGTTTTCTGAGCTGAACTGTCATCCTATCATTGTTACTGAATTTTGCAACGGGAAATATAAAGCATGAGATCTTTTATCAAGGAATTTCAATTATATTTTTCTTTGACTTACACTTCTAGATAGTAAACTAAATGTTTCTTAGTTTAATTTTCATGTTGATGAAGCTTCCTTTCCTGTTGCTATTTTAAGTAATTTTAAATGAATT